GGCAGGCAGGGCGGGCCGGCTCCTCCTTGGGGCTCTCGCTGCGCTGCTTCCTCCGCGGGGCCGCGCACCGCAGAGCGCCGGGCTGCGGGGCTGCCGAGCCCGCAGGGCAAGCGCGGCTGGAGCCAGTCCTGCCCCGGCTCGGCATGGCGCGCCGTCCGCTGCTCCGCCGTGTTTCTCTCGCTCCGTTCCCTGTGCGCCGCTGCACCCAGGGGAGGAGGGCCTCTGGCCTCCGTGCGTGCCGCCCCGTGGTCCGGCTAACGCGGCTGTGCTTGCAGGTGTGGTTTCAGAACAGACGGGCCAAATGGAGGCGGCAGGAGAAGCTGGAGGTGACCTCCATGAAGCTGCAGGACTCACCCATCCTCTCCTTTAACCGCTCACCGCAGGCGACACCCATGGGTCCTCTCAGCAGCAACCTGCCCCTGGAGACGTGGCTCAGCCCGCCTGTGCCCAGCAGCACGGCCCTGCAGACCCTGCCCGGCTTCGTGGCCTCGCCGCAGAGCCTGCCCGGCAGCTACACGCCGCCGCCCTTCCTGAACTCTCCAGCAGTGACCCATGCGCTGCAGCCCCTGGGGGCCATGGGGCCGCCGCCGCCTTACCAGTGCGGAGCCACCTTTGTGGACAAGTTCCCCCTGGACGAGGCAGACCCGCGCAACACCAGCATTGCTGCCTTGCGGATGAAGGCCAAGGAGCACATCCAGTCCATTGGCAAACCCTGGCAGACAATCTGAACTCCCTCTTTGGCACCTGGGAGAAACCCATGGGGAAGGCCGGTCCTGGGACACCCAAGGGATGCTCTTGCCCTGCTCTGGCTCCCCCGGACGGCCAGGCAAGGGAGGGCTGTCCCTTCCACCAGCCTTCCCCCCAGCCTTGAATTGCTTTGTATTTTGTGGTCCTTTTAATTCCCTTTTCCACATGCCCTGCAGAGTTAGGGGCCTGATCATAGCTTAGGAAAAAAAAAAAATCTCTTTTGCTCTCCCTCCTTGGCTGGACACTTTAGTTGCAATAAAAGCTGCAGTAGGGCGAAGAGCTGTGTAAGGTGACTGGGAACCAAGGCCTGCGTTACCTGGGAAGGGTTTTCTGCTTTTGCACCATTAAATGGCACGACCTGCATGAGGCTGTGCATCGTGTTTATGCACCAAATGGGCTGCTCGGGCCGGACTCTCCGCTGCCTGTGACGCACAGAGGGGTGGGACAGCCCTGGCTGTGGGCCCTCCTCTCTCCCCCTCCAGCAGCAGGACCCAGCCCAAACTGGCTGTGAGCACTGGGGGCTGGGGGCTGCAGCCCCGTGGCAGGGAGTGCACCCAGCTCCCTGCTCGGCAAGGAGGGTCCAGGGCCCTGGCAGTCCATGGGCCAGGCACAGCGCTCCCGCAGCTCCCCTTGTGGGGCAGCCCCGGGTTCGGGTAGGCTTTGCCCACCCTTGCCCCAGCGGGCCGAGGTTGGTGCCAGTCCCCTGGCCCTTGCTGCCTCCTTGGAGAAGGGGACCGGTGGATGCTGCAGGGTCCTGTGTGCCCGCAGCCCAGCTGCCGGCGGGGGCAGATGGGCGGTAGCTGACAGGACACTGGACCCCTGGCTGGGTGGCTGGAGCTGTCGGAGGGGACCCACTGGGTGCGTCCTGCCCGGGGCAGCTGCCCAGCGCAGCCCCCTGAGGCTGGCATGGCACTGGGCCGTGCTCGCTCGCTCCCCTGCCCAGCCGGTGCCCATCGCCAAGCTGCCGAAACTAAAACTGCGGCATCTTTCTTTTCCATTATCTCTGTTACTGCCTGTAATGGGGCTGAGAAGCTGTAATGAAACACCCCTTCTCCTCCACTGGGCACGGGGTGCTCTACACACTCTGGAGGTTGTGGCAATTAACGTTTCTCATTAGGGAAGAGAGAAGGATGCACAAGCGCCCTCATTGTGTCCTGGGGATGATTCAATGCAGACTGGGAGACCTCTCCTTTCACCATTTCCCACTCGTTGTGGCCAGACAAAGGCGGCGTCTAATTATATTTTCACAATCTGTGCGTATCTTTTAAGAGTCCTGTCAGAAACAAGTATGTCAGCTTTGTTCAGCTTCACTTCAGAGAGGTTTTTAACCTTAGACAGCAGTTTCTAAACATCCCTTCACAGCCTTCTCCACAGCAGCCCCCATCTATTGTCTGGAGAGCTTCTTTTACAGATAATAATGGGAATCCCTCTATTTTGAAACGCCTTTTCCTCTATCCCCGGCCTCCCTGCAGATCCAACCTGTTTCCCTGGACCAGAGCACACGCTGTGCCCAGGCCCCCAGGCTTCCCTTCCCTGAGCTGTGCTGGTCCAGGGGGGCACAGGGAGGCCCAGTGAGTGGTACCCGCTGGATTCAGGGGGGATGTAGCCCTGCTTGGGCCGGACCCTGCTGTTGAGCTTTGGCCCTGTCAGTGCCACCGTATGTGTGTCCGTGGTGGTGCCCAGCCTCCCCTGCACACAGCTCTTTGCTTCATCGGCAAAGTGCCATGCTGGTCAGGAAAAGAAAGTGCTCTTGCTGTCAGGAGCAGAGACGAGCTAACTTCTAGTAAGGAGACCTGGGTAGACTGGGCAGAGGGGAGGAGAACAAAAGCTGTACTGCTTCAGTTTTTAGGTCTTGTTCCAGCGGTCCTTTCATAGGTGAGCTTTGCATCACCAGGGATGCTGGGCTTGCAAGAAGGCACATCCCTGGTGGCTGTGAGGGAAGGATGTCTTTTGGTGTGCTTGAGAAGTGCCTGCACACTCTGGGCTGTGTCAGTAACAGACACACACTAAAATGACTGCACAGGCTCTGCACACTCTTCCTCCTCGAGGGTAGGAACAATCCCCCTTGTCATTATTTGGCTGCAGTCCATCTGCAGCTCTGATGCTGAAAACCCTCTTGCATGTGAGCACATTTAACTGTTGCCCAAAAGCTCTTACCTGTGCTTATTGCTCATGATTAACAAGCAACTCCCCAAGATTTCAGCAGTGCTCTTCCACATTTTGACGCTGCTAGCCTCCCTCCTTGTTGCCTCCAGTTCTTCTGTGTCCTGTAAAGCCATTGGAAGTACCCCCCCGGACTTTTTGATCAGCACTGTAACCAGCACTGGCACTTGGTTACTTGAGATAGTTTAAGACTAACAGTAGATAAAAACACAATGACAGGATAGCAGAAATAGCAGCTGAAGACACCTGTTCACTTTTATTAAGCTCCTGATCCAACACCTGCGAGCAAAAAATGAAAGATTATGTCAAGCTATGGTGATTGTTCTTTTATTGACATATTAAGCACGTCTTTTGTTATACATTGTACATGTGAACCCTGTAATGGATAAGCTGTGTGCAGTCATGTCCTTCAAGGAAAGCTATGAGTTTATTGCTAAAAATAAATATTTTAACCAGCTAAACGTAAGTGGGTACAGACAGGTAAATATTTTTCAAACAAATAAAGGGACAGAGGCATGTGCAACCTTATATCTTTCTTGTACCCTGTCTAGTTTTCTGTGTTCCTACACTTTCTTTCAAATTGTCCCATTCCATTTTAAAAGCTCATTTGTTCACTTTGTTGTAAATATCTTCTCCTTCTTAATTGGGTGCTGAGTCTAATAATCCTGCCTCGGCTTGTTAACTGTACAATAGCAGTCAGAGTTAATGACCCATTAGTGATTAATTCCTTAAACAGCATCTAATTGCTCACTGTAAAACCTTTTCTTAAAACTGGATTAAATCATCTAGATCCTTAACCACTTCTTTACTCTAACTTTGCTAAGGCTATTAGCCTGGCCTTTTCTGAGTGATCTATTTCTTCTTTTGCTTAAACTGTATTAGCAAGACAGTATTTTCAGTGTCTATATTTGACTTCTTTGCAACATCTGAACTTCTAAGGAAGGATAATACTGATAAAAGTCTGCCAGTGAAAATGTTAAGAAATTTACTCCTTTGCAATGAGATAATTGCAGACAGTGAACATTGTTATGCTAACCGTGGCATACCACCTTTTGGGAGAGAGGTGGACTTGTAGGACAGGGTTTGTCAGCGGTCACAGCTACTCATGGAAGTGTGTAGGCTTTGGTGGGTGAAGCTGTAAATACTTCTTGGAGTTTTCCCAAGAGTAACTCGGTCTTCGCTCAGTGTCCTGATATTCAGTCGGCAAGGGCTGCCCCAAGAGACTCATGGGAGGGTTGCTACATGGAGATGAATCCTTGCTACCCTTCCATGGGCACGGATCCCTGCTCCAGGGGGTACTGCACCTCCCTTCTCAACACGGGGCAAATGACTAGTGAGGAGGGGCTAGCCTTGCTGGGAATGGGAGGCAAGACAAGTTGTGCCTGCTGCCAGTCAAACTGGACTCTCCCATCGTCAAAGAGGCCTTGGGGAGGGCAGCCAGTGTCAGAAGCTGAGGAGCTCTTTCCCCTTTCTTTCTCTGTTGTATTTCACTGGGAGAACAGGCTGAACTAGGACCCTAGCTGTGTTTGGAAAGCCTAGTTCACTCCCAGGTCAATCCTACATGACCAGTCTGAGCTTCCTGGTTTTTTAATCAGGGAGAGGATGGATGGATATACATTTCTTTATATTATGCAAACCACTAAATTGTCCGCTTTGCAGTTCCTTCAAGGTTCTGGAAAAGTAAAACCAAATCACCATCTCTGCATCTGCTTCAGCTGTAGCAATGTCTCCACTGGCAAATGAGGTTAATCCTGGGTGATTTCTCATTAAGATGTGAAATGCAGTGGGGTAGACTGTTTTTCATGAGAAGTCTTTCCATTAGGCCTGGCTGTCTTTGCCCAGCCCAGAAATCCTAGGCTTAACATACAGAAGTGTAAAGTTTTACACAGGTCAGTAGTGTGAGCTATGCAGGAGAGAAGACAATTACTATAAAGAGCTTTGAAGATCTCTGAATTGATAATTATGAGGAAAATGCCATCGTGAAGCTCGATCTCAGTGGCACCATTTCTCAGCAGAAAGTGTATTCTAATCTTTCTTCCTTCCCACCCCTGTTCAAAATCCTGTCAGTATTCAAGAAAACTAGCAAAGACACCTGACCTATTTAAGCCAAGGAGAGTTTTGACATGGAGTTCAGCTCAGTTGCTTTCCAGTGGAGTAAGACTGGCTCTCTGTTCAGGACTGACCCTCAGTCCCTGCTGGATGGGGTCAGGAGAAGCTGTCGTCCCCTCTGGAGCAGCGGGCCGGCCACTGTGTTTGCTCCATAGCCACGACGTGTCACAGCCCCTGTGAGCTGAAAACACACAAGAGTTCAGTCACAGTTTAAATTTCTGTTATGAGCTGTTGGAGTTGAGGGCAATAGTGTTCCCTTCCCCTGTTGAGGACACGTCAGTGTCTGCAGGTGAGATGGAGAGTTGAAAGATCTTCTTTCCATCTGCCTCAGCTACATCTGGCAGGGATTTCAAGTATCTGTTCAAAGCTCCTGGCAACATCTTTCCTCAGTTCAGTCTGTTGGGACATACAAAGTCCAACTCCAGCAGGCTGCCTTCAGCTACGGTGGTTTTGGGCTGGACACTCAGGTTCATTCTTTCATGCAGTCAGCATCTTCCTGTGTCACTGATGCCATGGGTTATAAACCTTGGGACTTTATCAACTTCATTCAGTAGTTTGTCAACCACAGGGTACCCATTTACAAAATCTTATCATAGGAGAAAATAGTGGAATGAAACAAAGGAGAGCAGAATGAAAAGCTGGTTAGACCAGGATGCTGGTCACTCTGATAACATTACCAGTTTTTCTGGTAGAATGAATATTGTGTCTCCTCTCTCTGAGCATCTCTGTATTCTGCCAATGCATGATGTGAAAAACTGGCTGACATTTGGCAGTCATCCGTCCGTCATATGACAT